TTCTTTTACTTTTATTTTTAAGACTTATTATAGTTTTTTATCTTTTAAATATTCATTTTAATCATTTATCTTTTAAATTTAAGTCAAATTAATTTTTTTAAAACAAATAAATTATTTTTAATTTAAAATATAATTTAAAATATTTTTTGATTAATTTAAATTTTGAAACTTGTTTCATTATGTTCGTAAACTAATGAATGTAATTAAAGTTTAAACTAAAAACTCAAAAAGTGTCATAAATGGAGAAAATTTGTATAAACATAAGTCTAAAAAAATAACAAAAAATTTAAAAATTTAATTTGATTATATTTTTATAGTTGGTAATGATTATATTTTTACACAATTTTCATTATGTTTACAACTCTTTTAAATTTAAATGTTAATTTTTTTAAGCAAAGAAAAGATATATTAAAAAGGAATACAAGGGGTACTCTACTCTAACTCATAATACAAAAAAAAATTACCTTTAAAATCTTAGAATTTGAATATTAATTGAATTTTATAATTTTTATATAATTGAATTCAATGTTACAAGTTACACGTTAAATAAGTCAAAAATTAATTTAAAATTGTGTCATAAAATTAGAATGACCATTATTTTTAAATGATTAAATTAATTTAAATATAAAAGATAAAATATCAAAATAAATATTTTTTAGCAGATGAAAGATAAAAATAAATTTAAAAAAAAAAAAGATAAAAGATAAAAATATAGTTTAGAAATAGATAAAATGATTTCTAATATTTTAGGAACTTATATAATTTTAATAGTTTAAAGATTAATTATAAAAAGGATAATACTTCAAAAAAATCAAATAGATGGTTTATTCAATATGTATTTATCATAAATTATGATTTTGAGTTTTTTTAACTCATAATAATAATGGTATTTTATTTTTAAACTAGAGAATAAAGTGCACTAATAGCTATTAATTAAAAATCAGAAGTAGATATTGTAATTAATTCTTAATTTTATTATACTTATATTTAATTTTATTACAATTTTCAAATAATTTTTTAATTAACAATTGTAAATGTACTTTATCTTAACGTACACTCATTCACTTTAAAGGAGTTAAATCTTTTATTAAATTACTCATTTATTTTAATTTTATATTTAATTTATTTAATTTTTTTCTTTATTATCAATTTTTTGAATTAAATCCTTTAAAATTTAAAAACGTTGTTCAATTTGTTTGTGTTTGTGTTGTTAAAAATACTAACGGAGATATATACATGTCATGCTTTTATTAGAATTGATCCACTTTCGGTTTATATAGTATCGTGGAAATTTAGTCTATAACTTATTTTCTTAGAAATTTAATTTCTCTAATTTTTAAAATTAAGTAATATTTCCACTTATTAAGTAATACTGCATCATCTTTTGCTGTCTAGTTAATCAGATACGGTCATTAATTTATTGAGAATATTCTGCAACTAGGCCGAACCCGTGAGTGATAATGGAAAAATATTAACATCGTTCTTGTTGAGATCATCATACATATTCACATGTCTTTATATCACTAAAATATTGTCCATTTTTTTGACTTTTGACATCACCTAAAAGGTTCTCGATATAAACTCATCTCCATTCTCTTTGAACAATTCGGGACATTAAAAAAAAGTAATTTAACCGCAATTCACTATTTATAATAAATTATTTTAATTTTATAATAAATAAGTAAAAAAAAATATGAATCAGAATATCTAATCTAATTAGTTTAGAAGGTAAAATTATTTTATGATGTGATCCAAATAATAAGAAGAAGGCAATAGCTGAGAGTAATAAATTGATTGTGTGAAGAATGGGCACAAAAAAATGGAAAAATCCTCACCAAAATCGAAACTCACACGACGTTACAATTGGTCAACGCCGGAAACGTGGACGCCGGCATGCTTGATGGAATGGAACAAGGGGGAGAGCATTACGCGGTAGTGGAGCGGACGCGATTGCTCCTCGATTTCAACGGCCGTCACGCCGATTTCCCTCAGCCGGAACCCTAGCTTCTCCCCCACGCGAGAGGCCACTTTCGCGTCCCAGAAGCGGTGGGATCTGGGGAACCGATTCAGATGCGCGCGGTAGTGAGCCGCGAATTCCTGCTCCGAAGACGACGCCATCGCTATGATCGACGACGTCTCCGTGTTCGTCACCTGAGCGGTGATTTTCCGGCACGACAACACCAGCTGCAGCACGTGGCGGTGGTGGTTGTGGTAGGTTCCCGCCATCTCTCGCCAACACCGCACGACACCGTTTCGTTGTTTAGTTTAGTTTACGGCATCACATCGCAATGATCGCATTCACGTCTTTCTTTCTCCTCACTCGTGCGGTTTTTGCTAAGTGATGGTTTTTTGGGCCAAGAGTTGAAGCTTGCTAGAGGGGAGTAACTACTTACTACACACCCCTTATTTTACTATTTAAAGTCTTAACCTTTTAAAAAAATTAGAATAAATACTTCTCAAACTGGTCTCTAAATTTGATAGGTGCAATCATATTGGTCCAGGAAGTTTAAAAAATTGTGAAATATGTGTACAAATTTAATTCACAATTATAGTAATTTAAAATTAGAAAAATTATGTAATTAGAATGATAATATCAAAAAAAAAAATATATATATATATATATATATAAAGACTAATATGATATTGAATAATTAAATTTAAAGACTTATATGATATTTATTAATTTAAATGATCTTTAAAATTGTATTTTCTAAAATTAGGAATTTAAATGATTTATTTTTAAAGAACTTATTTTTTTGATGAAAATAATCTTTAACACTCCATTATGTAACATTAACATAAATTTTAACATCACAAGGAAAAATTATTTTCATCGTGGTTAATACATTTACACCTCTCTTAAACAATAAAAAAACAAGTTTTTGTTTTGTATCAAGTTAATTTTTTTTAAGGAAGTATAACTTCTTTTCACTTAAATGACTCTTATAAAAGCAAAATAATATCTCTTAATTGTGATTTCAACAGATATTAAGTTTCAATCATTAGTTAAATAATAAAAATACCGAAGAAAATTATTAAGTGTTAATCAAATTCATATGCATAATAATAGTAGTAGTAAATTTCTATTATGTATCTTCTCTAAATATGCAACAAAACTAAGTTTCTATCTTATAGATTCAGGTGATGGAACCAAAACCAATAAATAACAAAGAATAATTGAATAACAAAATTCGTATAAACAAAACAAAACATGTATCAAATTATATCTTCGTTTCAACACATTTTACACAACAAATTTATGATAAAATATTTTAAATATATAAAATTTCACAAACAATAGAACATACGGTACATTATTACAACTAATCTCTACAAAAATTTAGATACTCACTTTCTCTGATTACAGTCAAAGAATTGAAAGCTTCTAACCAGCCTTATCCATATGAAGCCCACGTTTTGACTGTGAAACATAAAAAGGTTTTCTTACAATAAAAACACAGTTAATAAATCATAATTCTGTTTATGATTTAATTTTCAAATAGAATAAATTACTCTCAAGTTGAGAGTGTATCCTGCATCGCGTCACACCGTAGTACCGCTGTTCTCTGGTCATGTGTCCGTACAACAATGGTGTGTGTATCAGATTCGGAGAAACCCTTCTTTCGCCTTTGTATCCGACAAACTGATAAACCCGACCCGATCCAATCCTGCGTCTTGCACCTCGTCGGAGGGCCAAGTAAGGCTTCATCAACTTTCCCATTTACCATTTTCTATTCATGTACAAAACCGAAACATTGCACCACAAAATTGCTATTTTGAGTTTTGGATTAGCTATGAATTTAATGAAGCATTCGTATTTGAAAGGAAGTGTGTAATGCAATCTGAATAACTTCATGTTCTTTTTGCAGGTTTGGCTGCTTCCTCTATCAAAAGGGATGTGTTGAAATCTGCCCAATTATCTTTCCGCTAGTTCTTGTGTTGGATAGGTGAACTTTTTTCTTCATCTTCTCGCATTTTCACGAATCCTATATTTATATTCTTAATTCATGAAAATTAGCCTGTCTGTTTTCTTGACTTGGACCAAGTAAATAAATTAATTAATTAAATTCATGCTGTATCGATGTACACTTATCTTGTGGCCAATTATTTTATAGCTTAGGGTTTCAGAGTTCAGTTACCATCAGATTTGGTGAAAAGTCATGTAAATTAGTTTTTCTAGATTGTGATCTTTGTTAGTGAAATGTGTACTCCCCCCCCCCCCCC